GCACCTCGCTCAGCCAGTGAGCGGCCGGTCTGTATGTGGGATCCGAACCCTCAGCGGGAGCGCCGCCGCGCTTCCCAAGCGGCGCACTGTAGCAGTGCGCCACCGGGCCGGCCCAGAAACCACCATTTTTTAATGTAAGTTACAGTAATTTCTAAATGATTCCTATCTTATAGTTGTATTTAAATTCCACACAGAATAATTATTTTACTTTATTAATAATAATTACTGTATTTTTCTAAAATATAAATATGTAACAATAAAAGGGATAGAAGGCTAACATTGCTAAACCTTTACAAGAAACATGAACTACTTAGGGATAGAGCTAACAAAACATGCAAGATTTATGCTGAAAACTACAAATCATTGAAGAGAAATCAAGACCTAAATAAATGGAGATACATCTGTGTTCGTGGATTGTGGGAGGGAATACTGAAATGACAGTTCTCTCCAAATTGATTTATATATTCAACACAATCTCAACCAAAGTTCCAGAAAGCTTTTTGTAGAAATTGACAAATTGATTCTAAAATTTATATGGAAAAATAAAGAACTAGAATAGCTAAAGTAATTTTGAAAAAGGAGAACAAAGTTTGAGGATTTACTGTATCTCATTCCAAGACTTACTCTAAAGCAACAGTAATCAAAACATTGTGGTGTCGACAAAAGAACAGACACATAGATCAATAGAAGAGAGTCCAGAATTAGGCCCAGTACTCAGAAAACATATAGTAGTTGCCAGGAGCTGATGGTGAGGGGAGTGGATTGGCTACAACGTGTCATGAAGGAACTTTTTGGGATGTTGGAAATGTTATATATATTGATCATGGTTCTGGTTACATGACTGCAGCATTTGTCAAAATGTGTAGAACCATAAACCTCAAAGGGTGAATTTTACTGTGTATCAATTATACCTCAATAATGTGATTTTAAAGAAGATAGATTTCTGGTTTTCAGTTCTGCATGTAAGGAGCTTGGCAGTCACCACTCTGTCCTAACAACAAGTAAAAACCTGAACAGACTGAGAAATAAACAACTCTTCTTGTATCTGAAAGAGAAGGGAGGACTTAGGACAATGTGCTGCCCCCAAGATTGAAGAGACAGGTAAATACAAAGAAGTTATTTGACTTACCAGAGCAGAGAGTCATGAATGGAAATCAGTGCTAGGGTAGGAAAATCTGAATTGTAATCGATGAATTGCTGGAGGCTCAGTATGGTCAACACTGAGGGAGAACCAGTCATAGCGTATCCTCCTGTGAGATATACCTTCTGGAGCTCAACCTTGATCCTACAGTAAATATCAGAGAAAAATCC